AATACACAGCTCAATCAATGACTGAATAACAGTGCTAATCTGCTCTAGATTAGTTAATGAGAGATCTGTAGCAAATGTGTGGAGGAAGGCAACAACTTCGGCAACTACATTGATTGTCTAAATAAACAATAACAATGTTAAATCGCAATTCACATGTAAAAGAGTGTCTCTTTCTTACTCTATAGTTATCAAGCTGTTCTCTTAAATAATCTTGTAGAGTTCTGTTCTGTCCATCACACATTAGGCCAATTACTTCAAGCACCAAATTTATCCACAAAGCATCATGATGGAGTATATCAGACAACAGTTTAAACTCAGCGTTTCTGTTCAATTCAGTTGCACTTTCCAAACCTGGTGAAGCTATTCCGCTAGCCTACCAAGAAAGAAAAATTATGATGAATGCACATTATGATCACTTCATCTTATCATCTTTTAGTACTTTTAATGTCCTTGTTTTACATGTGCTTGATTGATCTCTATTTGTACTTACTTTAGATCTTTTTATAGATCCAGTAGATAACAGTGGATCTTCATCTTCGTGAGCACCAACTATACATGTACATGACAAATGAATACATGCTGACATTCATTATATTTGTATCACAACATTCTACATGTACATGTAAATGAATATTGCAATTACCAATTTCTTCCATTGGTATTATCACATCTTTGCCCGATGTGTATGTAACAGCCTAATAATATATAAATACATTCCTTACATAATAATATGGACTAACTGCTTCTGATTCAAAACCAATGGATGCATGCTCCCCAGTAAGCCTTGCTGAAACAGGAGGACTAGCCTACAAAAGATTAAAAAGAGTCTTTTCTCATTAGTTACAAAAATAGCTCACGGAAGAATAGCGCTGCAACTTCTTTCGTTTCTTTAATTGAGCCTTTAATTCCGCACTGAGCAAAACAAAAAATAAAATTATTTATGCAAGTACAGTTGGTATCTTACATTTCCTTGAAGTTTAGACTAGCAGCCTCCAGCCTTTTTTTAAAATTGAGAAACAACTTCTCTTCATGTGACTGCTTGACAGCTTTAATTAGTCCTTCCTGTACTTCCTTGTTGCCTGAGAAAAGGAGAGCCTTCATTAGAGCCAGGGCTTCCTTTGATATTTTCTCATCAGGATGCAAAAGTAAAGGTATCACCTATATAATTATACAAATAACATACCATTTATTTTAAAGAGTATTTTTATAATGAATTATTAGCTATTTACATACACGACTGATAGCATTGTTGAATGACTGAATAGACTCCTGAACTGGAACAACAGTATCTTTGCATTTCCTTTATAACACAAAACATAATAATAAAATTGTTACAATTTTTAATCTAACTTTCTGAATTCTTTAGGATCCCTTTGTTTCAACTCTGGATCAATATGCTTGATTTTATTATGTATCAGAGCTCTTAATATCTACAATAGTGGTGAATTTTGATGTAAACACATATTTTCTGCTAACCTGCAAACATCGTAAATCTAATTTGTCTTGATTCATTTGTTCAGCTTCACCTAACTGATCAGATCGACTGACAGATATCCTAAAAGTATATTGATCATGTTTTATAACATCTCAATAAAAATTTGCAGTACAAATAATAATAACAAATGAAACAAAAACTAATTTTTTTAGGACAAATAAAATACTCACTCTATTTGTTTCAATAACCTCTCGGCTGGATGCTTTTTTGAACAGGATTTACTGTTATTGAACAAATAGAAATATATTACATATACTTACAGCACATGCACTAACTTACTCAATATGATAAATTTTAATAAGTTCCTGAAAACTGGCTCCCATTGGTAATTCTTCACCTTCATCACTATATTCTATAAATTATTTAAAAATAAACAAAGTGAAATATTATGCGGCATGACAAAAATACTTTATCAATAAAATGGCTTTTGCAGATTTTATTTTTGCTAATTCACCATCCACACCTTTTAATTTATTAGGTCATTAATTTGTGTACCAAATTTTTAAAGATAAAATATCTGCATTAATCTTTTCAATTAGCAGAAACTTTGGGCTACAGATATTTCTAGCTATACAGTAATAATATACATTATTACATGTGAATATGTACAAAATTACCAATTTTGCAGTGTACAGTAGATCCTATTTGGTGACTGGCAGTATTGGGCCCCATATATGAACAGTGATAGCGTTGAGAAAAACAGTTAAACAATTTGTTTAATTTCTCTTGTTCTGCATACTCCTCTAAAAATTCTTCCTAAATTGTAAAATTAATTGTAAATGACAACAATAATATCAAACTCATATTACATAAGCTGCTGAATCAGTTTTCTCTGATTGCTTCACACTGGAAGTCATTTTTCTTGGTGCTCTTCCTCCAATAAATTCAATTGTATGAATTGATTGCTCTTTGCTGACAGTAGATTTCTCACGTATCTCAGAATAATTCATTAAAGCACTAATTGTTTCTTGAAACATGTAAACATGCTTGTCTGAGAAAAGAACAGCAGTCAAATCTTTACTCAGATCCTAATAAGATATAAAAATTTATACTTAAATAAAAAGATATTAATCATACCACAAGGCTTCTCAAAATATTTGCTGAAATGGTGCAATCATTAAGATGATTTGCTGAATTAGGATCATAAAAATGAGAATAGAATGTATGCAGGAATGGGATAACCCCATCAGCTAGATATTCCAATAAACCAGGAACAAGATGACCATGAGAATCTGTATAAAATGACAATCAGGCAACAATATCTCTGAAGTTTCCTTTTACTTTTAAAGTTTTTTATATATTGCATGCATATATATATATATATATATATATCTCATAATTATGACATCATCCTTTGATGTGGTCGGGTTTATATTTTTGTATATATACCTGCCATTCAGAAATGCTGTCATCATTATGAAATATATCCTATATAACATACTAGAACCGGTCTATATACAAAAGATATAGACCTTTGGTGGGTGTCCTCGGATGTAATATAGCCCTTGGGCCTGCGGCCCTCGGGCTATATCACATCCTTGGACACCCACCTCAGGTCTATATTTTTGTATATAGACCTGTTTAGTATGATATATAATACACATGTGTGTGTGTGTGTTATATAGCATAATGATGTGGTGGTTCCTATATTTTGTATATGCGACCTACTTGTATCCTATATATTATGAAGTATACAAGTAGGTCACATGTTGCATGTACAAAATATAGGACCTAATGCTTGTGTTCAAGGATGTGATATAGCCTGAGGGCTATATCACATCCGAGGACATCCACCAAAGGTGTATATCTTTTGTATATTGACCAGTTTTAGTATGTTGTATATGATACATTTCATAATGATGACAGCATTTCTGAATGGCAGGTTTATATACAAAAATATAAACCTGCCATTCAGAAATTCTGTCATCATTATTAACTAGAACTGGTCAATATACAAAAATATAGACCTGTTTAGTATGATATATAATACACACACACATATATATATATCTCAAG